TTAAACCTTTTTGTGTCGAATATTCCATAACATTTACGTACATAGATCACCAATATGCAATAATTGTATTAAAATGTTTTTAAAGGAATTGCTTTAAAAATATATCTCTGTAATTACAGAGATACTGCAGCCTGACAGTGCTCCTGATTAAGTTTGTTAAAAAGTTAAGAATTAATTAAAAGAGACCCTGATTTAAAAGGCAACAGTACGAGTATATATGTTTTTCGGCTTGTGTGGTTAATCGGCTAATGCTCAATTTTTGGTTGTGTCTTCACAATACTCAAAAGTTTTATTTATTTAGTACAATTTTCACTAACAGTAACAATAACTACATGTGTCTGTCATAGTCAATAAGCGTTAAATCGATCATCATTAATGCAATTCAGAGTTCTGTCAAGGCTTGAGCCTCGTAGAAGTTGTAAAAACCTATGTACGCAATAACGCAATGTTCCATGTGATGAAAGTGTTAATATTATTTTCTTTTTTAAATAAATATAATAGTAAATGTGTCTTACCGTTCATTGCAAATGCAACGTACCAGTCTCTGCTATTTAGCTATCCTTTTATGTACGAGAGTTACAAATTAATGTTACATATAAGAAAAAAAAACAATTTAGCTAATATCACTCCCTTTTCTGTCACATTAATGTCAGCCTGGTATTATCTGAGTTTCTGTCCCTGACAGATGGAATATTTCGCTTCGGTACGCTTTCGAAGTCGCGAAGGCGTAAAATTGAGATAAGCTTTAAAAATAGACTACGTCACGCCACTCCTTGTGAATCTCTTGATCTAAACCTCTATATAGATTCTTTAATTTTTTTCTTGAAAATGATTTATGATTTTATTGCAAGCATGGTTCTCAAGTAACAGAGAATTACGCTATACTTAATTAATGGTTCAATTATTTCAAATCTCGAGTAATTTTGTAAAATCATCGCTTTAATTATATTTATAAAATTAAATAATCTGTACCTTCCTTTCGTTAGAGGCTGAGATTTATTCACATACTTTGCTCCTAAACTTTAACAACAGGCATTACAAGATTTACTTGAACTTCCCGACTCGAAAACCCTACAAATTAATCTCTCATCTCTAGAGACGTCTAAAAGTATTCTCCAATATGAAACATAACTCAATACTCGAGAGCAAGGGATCTGAACGCAACCGAGCGTGAAATGGTCGACATGTAGGGGCGTTCGAAGTGACCCGCCACGCCGCCGGCCACTGATATATGTTAGACCCACCAATGTTTGACGTACGTGCGTTCTTTCTCATATTTTTCTCTGTTTGCTGAAAGTTTTTCTTATATGAATTTTTTTGTCTCATTTTTTAACACAATTTAGGTAGTCGTTGTCGAAATTAGTTTAAATTAATAAAAGTGTGCACTGTTTAATTAGTACTGTTTAATTTTAGTGTAGTTCACTAATTGTGACTGCAAAAATGGCGACCGCGTGTCACGACTGTGGCGTTGCAACTGTGCTTCTATATGTTGTATGAAAATTAGTAGTGGCGCGGCTGCAACGTCACAATGCCACTGCAGCGCTTCTATAAGCATCTAATTTGAAGGCGCTCTAAATGACTGAATGAATCACGAAAATTTGAGAACCACTGTCGCTGCGCCTATCACCTTAAGACATAAGTTGACAAGTCCAATTTTACATATAAATAGGTTTATGAAAGATAAGAAATTAAAACTATACCCATAAGGTACATTACAGATACCTACATAGTTTTACATACTTATTTACTTCTTCGTCTTATAGTGACGATACCTTTTCCAATTTAGGATTATATTGACTTTGAATAGTACGTTACCACGTACGCGGCCACAAAGATCTACCCTAGTATGTACAGTATGGTACACTATTATAGGTGCAGACGAGCTAGTTCTGCATGGACTATGTTGGGGTTATGCAGTCACATTGATTTCGACTAGCATTTTTTCGTATATTCGCTGTTATATGAAGTTAAATGTCAAAAATCGTCACCATAGCCGTCTTTGGTACTTCTAATTTGATCTCTGAAGTTATTACCTACGCTCCTATCACATAAAATAAACACCAACGATGTTTTTCTAATAATGCAACGGATATGTGTTACAGTAACTATATAGTTTAATAAAAATACACGGTAAAACATTGAACAATATTATTCAGAAAACAGTGTTGCATCGTATCTGCGGTAGTTTTTGGTTAAAGCCGATACGAACGTCCTTTATGCCTGTTATTTTCCGACCGGATGCTTCCCTTTGGCGATGGAAAATATTTTACTTGAATGGCAAAACATTACAATGCTAACTTTTGTTTCGTGACTTTGTTATCAAATTCCATTTAAAGTGCATAAAGTAGCTTAGCGTTTCTATGTTCCTTAGTGCAGCTGCTCATCATACATAGTTTAGTGTCGAATATTCGTCAATTTTATAAAACAAATTGCACTATACCCCTAGTGGGACAAATAGATTTTTATGATACCAAGTGACAGGACGAACAAGTCGTGCACCTGGTAGTAAGCGACACGCCTGTCCATAACAGTTGCAATGCCACTCAGAATTTTAAATAGTTGTAATTTCACCAGAAACCAACCAGAAATTACATTTTGTATGCAAATAAATATTTTACTCGGTCACTAGTGACAACTGATATTGTAAACTAATGGTAGAAGTACAGGAAACACCGTGGTCTTCGAATACTATACCAGTCGTATAATTATTTGTAATTGAATACAATTATAAATAAATAAATAAATATAAATAAATAACGCACACACTCAACATAGCCCCGCACTAGGGAAACCCTGTGTCGCGGGTGCCATGGACACACATATAGACAACCACAAATTACACCCAAACTCACGAGAGAAACAATTGTAGGCCATACAAACATTTCTCCCAGCCCGGGAATCGAACCTGGGACCTCTGCGTGGCAGTCCGGCATGGTAACCGTTCGGCCACGGAGGCAGTTTATAATTACAATTATAATTAACAATTAACTCGATCTATGTCTACAGTCAAAGTTTATCTTCAGGATAGACAAGCACAATTGAGAGAAGTATTTATAATGTTTAGTAAAGTTTTCCGTCGTTCTCTACAGGCTTAGGCATCTAATTGGCCATACCGCCAGGTCTTAAATTGTAATTTTTTTTCGATAGTTTAATTTTCTGACGTTTTTTCGCGGTAAATTATTATCTTTTCTGAACCACTTTGATGTTCTTCTTTTATAAAATGTGTATACATTTAAGATTGTTGCTGTTTTTTTTTTATATTCTCTCCGTTAAGGAAAAGGCAAACGTTTAAAACTATACATACAGCCAAGTCTTGGCGAATTTTTCTTTTGCTAGTTTTAGGTTCGTTTTGTAGAATATTATAAAATTCTTTGGTTAGTCAGATTATATAAAAGCAAGTATAGACTATGAATGTGACAACAAGTGACGGGACGAACAAGCCGTGCGCCTGGTGGTAAGCTGAGAGCTTCAAATCGCAAAGATTTGAGAGGCACTACCACAGCGCCCGTCACCCTGAGAGTAAGTTGAAAAGTCCCATATGCCTGTAATGTCACCAGCTTCCTAACTCTTCATAACCGAAACGCAGTAATGGTCACATTACTGTTTGGTGCAGAAATAAATAAGGTGGCAATACTTCCCAGGACGAAATCATTTACTAGAAGCTCTACCACTACTAAATATGTCCAAAAACCACAATCTTTCCCAAACATTTGCGAATGTATTTAAAATGTGTAATATTAAAAATTGTCTACGTAAAAATATCGCGTATCGACTGAACAGGGAATTCCAGTGCATTCAACCGGAAAATAACCGACATAAAGGTCGCACAACCTGGAAGTGACCGGGAGCCGAGCGATAAAATATATGAGGGCTGCCCTTAGGGTGCATCCACATGGGCACCCCGACGCCTTCGAGCTGCCTGTATGCACTTTATTATAACACGCACAGCTTGCCTTGTCGACGCAATGGTTATGACCATAGATATAGGAAATGACTTGCTTGGAACAATGTTACCGCATTGATTACTTTAATAAAAATCATATTCAAATACTATTTCAGTGACAGTTTACATTTAGTATTAATTTTTAGTCATAAGTAGCTTTTCTCCCTCTGAACATGCGATACGTAACGTTGAAACATTTGTCACACCCGCTTCGTGGCCAACAAATAGGTTTCCGAGAGCATCAAAAGGTTATCTCGGCCTCAGACGCATAAATAAAGCGCACAACAAGATGGCGCCATCGGCCGTTGCCGCGGTGTTGCCAGCAATTAATCTCCATTTCCCGCACGCGCCAAATCGCACCATTACAGCTCTGTTTTATTTCATTAAATGGACCGCCACATTAATGCGCCGAAATGCTTACAAAGGTGATGAAAGAATTGCGAGCGGATGCTAAGAGATTTCCTCGCCTCTTTTGTATCCGTTTGTAAAAAAATCCCCGCTTTATTCATCACTGGAACAGCCCGCTTTAAAACATCTAATTTGAAATGGGCAATACCAATAATGTTTATTTTGTACCTAACAAAAAGAAACGCGACAAAAGACGCAAAATATGAATCCGTTGTAATAGAAAAATGATGACAATAAAAATGGCATTTATAAGTTAGGCGTAGCATGGAGCATATTCTCAATAATTTTACTTCGTTTTGTTCACAATTTCACATAATTTTAAAAAGTCATAGTCTATATATATAGTCCCTAATATTAATATTTTAGAGAATTTGAACTTATAACCTTGTAGATTTTATGCGTCATTTATGGAGTACCAGCATTTCAATATTCATTTTCTGGACACGCGAATTGTTGTGATAGATATATCATAAATACAGATTATCAATTTCGAAGTATATAACCCGTTCCAAATAAGTATAATAAAACAATTATTACAAGTGTAATAAAATTTTTCCATAAATAATATTCAATATCTCTGTTAAAGTGGTAATCTCTATTAAATATATCTCTAGAAGGATTTTTTTTTATGATTGTTTCTTTGTTGCAGGTGCGGACTTTGTTCGTCAGTGGACTACCAATGGACGCAAAACCTCGAGAGCTTTATCTACTGTTTCGAGCGTATGAAGTAAGAAAATAGGTTTCTTTTGTTGTTTTTTCCCTAAAGAAATTCTTTCACAATTGAGTTTTAGCCTAATAGACACACAATGACTGTGCAAACGCTGTACCCTTATCGACACGAACGAAGGGCAGAAAAATGTCACAGGGCAACAACTAGCAGCCCCTGTAATGATAGTAGTAAAATTGTAAAGGAATCGTGCTGTAGCCCATAACAATATACGAATAACCTGTCGGAAATAGTTTGAAGGGAATTCGTATTAAAATGAGTTGATACTATATACGACTGGAAGCTCCAAAATAATAACCACAAGGGAAAATAAAACATCAACCAAACACACTTCTGTCACGCAAGCAAGGAGATCACGACTCGGATTACTAAGTCATAAATATCAAATGTCATGCCTCGATTCGTAATATTCGGATTGAATCGATTCAGAATACCGATAAGGAGGATTACACTCGATTCTTGCCTGGCACGGATAGCACCGTAAACACAAAGGTGGCTAAAGCCGAGGGTTAGTTTTAGTGGATCGCGTGTTTTCCGCCGTCCCTGGTACAAGCTCGCACCATTTTTGGTAGTTAAACGATTTTCTTCTGAATAGAATTTCAACTATGACATGACGACACCGACAACTGAAGTAATTTGGTAATGCGCCCCACATTACATTATACGGAAGTTGTATATTGAAAAGTTTCGAAAAATGCAACCGTCACGTCACGCGAATGAACGCTTAGGCATTTTATTTGAACGATGACTGGTGCCTATAAATAATGATGAAGCATGTCTAACGAGTTGTTTTTGCGCAGGGTTACGAGGGCTCGCTGTTGAAAGTGACCAGTAAGAATGGGAAGACAGCATCGGTAAGTTTGTCAGTAGGCAAGTAAGATGTTTATCACAGGCTTTGTAAGAAACTTATGTGTTAATGGAGGTGTTAAATTTGCAGCCTGTCGGTTTCGTGACGTTCCACACCAGGGCGGGTGCAGAGGCAGCCAAACAAGATCTTCAGGTTGGTATTATCACAAGCTGTTACTTGTTATATTATGGAATCCGTATCTTAAAGCATAATACTATAAATGAGATTGCAGCACTCAGTACGAACACATAATAATCGTTCTACATGGACAAGCACTCATGAATCTAGCTGCAGTGCTGTGCTAATATTGTGACCTAATTTATCGAGCTTGTTCCAATTGCCACTTTGTTTGTAATTTTAATTCAAATTTACATTACACTTTGTTTACCTAAAATATTTTGTATCCATTGAAACGAGCTCAAAATTTACTTAAATAAATTAAAGGGAATAATTGCAAAATTAAATTAGGGGCTAACCAAACTATTTTCTATTAAACATGGGAACAGTAAGATATAGTAAAAGGAGATCACAAACACACATATATCGCCTAACAATTGTTATATTTTAAAATGCTTTAAACCACCGAAAATACCACAAGTTACTTGTCAATATCTCTGTAATAGACTGAGATACCCAGTATAAAACTGACGCTAATGTATATACTAAAACATGTAAGCGCACGATGTTACTAAACCTCTTCTCATCACATGCCTACACAGCCAACGAGCACTATAGTTAATATTCTCATTGTAGACTTGGAATAACATTTTCCTGACTCGAGTAACCGCATCGTAAGTTATGCTAAACCCATGCACATATCGAATAGACTACGTCGGGTAATCGAGACGGAGCCGCTAAGCCGGCGCACCGGAGTGTGATCGATAATATTACGGTGTAAATACGCAATGCATGTCACTGTTTGACAGGATTTGATGTCACACCCCGAGCACTGTGTTTCGACACCTTAGCAGGCGCAGGCGCGGACTTGTAATTAAGAAAATTCCCGATCTCAGTCTCTTAACGTTCTGAAACCATTACGTCGCGTTTAATGAATATATAATACCATATATGTATATGATATGGCAAATACATAAACTTGGGCTAAGTTAGTATATACATATTCTGGAATAGTTATCAATCTTTATTACAAGAATAAGTAAATGGCAGTTCCAAATTCAATGCCTTCTAACCCTAATGTTGTTCCTTTCCCAAACGCGTGAGCCACTGCCTACTCCAATGGGCAATTAGCCCCCGGAGCACGCGACTATCGACCCTTCCATCGTCATTATATCGGAGCGCCGCACCGCTCGCGGCTGTTCACAGCAGGGTGTCCGGTTCGACCCCGACATGCCGCAAACGATTCGGCTGGAGTTCGCTAAAAGCAACACGAAGGTCAGCAAGCCGAAGCCGGCAGTTGCCACAGCCGCGCCAGCTGCACACCCCGCATTGATGCACCCACTCACTGGACGTAAGTACCGCCGACGCACACACCGCCCGGCGCGCGCTCGGCCTCACCACGACCCATCACACCTACCTCCCACACTAATTACTATCATCGACCGAGTTTGTAACGATCCTTGCACTCAATACGCTCATATTTTCACGTTTGTTACTTCAACTAAACAACGTGATTGTGTTCTTGTGGGTGTGTTGGGAGTCGAGCGAACGCAAATTTTGGGCAAGTATCTGTGACCGCTTACACGTACCACGCAAGGCCAAGCTCCGCGAAGCTATTTATCGATTGACTATCGGGTTCTTTACCACTATTGTAAAACTTTCTACATGTTTTCATGATAACACTTCCATCGTTGGACTCGCTAGCATTAGTTGGGGCACATTGGGTGATAATAACTAAAATAGTTTAAAATTCATGTAGATTTTAGAATTCACGAAAAAGGTATTACTTACCTAAATAATTGAATATATATTGTTCCTACCTAAAATCTATAGAAACTTTTACTATGATCAAACAAAGCGTGAAAACATGTTAAGCACACTGTAAATATTAAATACATTAATTGTTTCTTTACTATAGCGTTCTTACACATCTTAATAACACGATACAGGACGAAATATCGAGGAAATGTACATCTACAGACTTGTCACCGTTGCGGTCTGGGCCACATAAACAGACAAGCTCATTTTAAATAACGTTGATTCCTCTTGGATTTTCAACATAAAACCAGCAAGATTTTATCCGAGCTATTTGTCTAAAATTCTCCTTTCATATCATAATTTTTCGAGCAGTTCTCATTGAGGAATGAACGTCATTTTGAATTTACTTACTAATGGGTGTTTAGAGTTTTTGCAATGTAGTTAACAAGAGTTCGGTTGCATACACAGACCTAGCGAGTCCGTTCTTCCCGGGCGGTGGCGCAGAATTGTGGCATCACCCGTTGGCATACGGTGGAGAACTGCCTACGCTCTCGCATGGACTAGTGCATCCAGCCATCCACCCACAGATGGCTCCAGTCCGTTCCTACCTCTGACTAGCTGCCGCCGATAGGCCACACCACGTAAGTAATCTACGCTGAAACATTTTATAGCTAGGCGGTACGTAACGGCTTAAGATCACAAGATTTTTGACGGGCTTCATAGTTTTTCAAGTTTCTACAAAGGGTTAATCTAATTTTAAATTATCAGGAGATCAGATTAGTTTATTTGGTAGCGTGAAAAGAAATCAATTATTTATGTTCGATAATTGATTTGACACGTTTTTCCCAGACCCCCCTGACGCTAGGAGCATGCGTGCTCCCCGCGCCTGCGCTGGGCTCGCCTGGCGCCGCCGTGCCGGGTCATGCGCCTGCGCCGCCTGCGCACCCCGCGCACCCTACGCCACCCTGCTCTACACTTTTCGTCGCCAATCTTGGCCAGTTCGTCTCTGAACATGAACTCAAGGAAATATTCAGCAGGTACGTGATTAAAGCTGTTTTATTAGATGTTGTTTGTTCAAAATAACTTTAGATTCAAGAGTGTGCTTCTGTATTTGTCTCGCTAACAGAAATTGCGTTGACTCTGATAAATATGCACTCATCGTTTATACAAAAAAATTTAGTGGTATCTTTTGCCGAACAAGTGTTACTAAATGATAAATATTTAAACCGAGTGAATATTATTGAAATGGTAAAATACTTTTGAATTGCAGAAATAAAGTTAGTTTCTAGGCGTTGCACACTGAATTTGAAATTTACTACAAATATTTTCACATTAATGTTGATAGACGGTTTGGAACTAATCCACCCAGCAAAACATTTGTAATTCGTTTTATCAGTTTGCAACTCCATATTATCACAGAATTTTCAAACGGATTGCTGAAAGTTAATGGCCAGTAAATTCATTCTTAATTTCGTGTTTTCCATTGAAAATTCTGCAATTAATGTCATGTGCATGATCACACAATAGGTTAAACAAGTTTACAACATTATATTCGTATTAAAGTAAGAAAATGTACTTCACAGTGCATGTTGCACCGACTCACAATGTCGTCTATATACAATAAATGGTCTAATTTTATGTTGTCAGTGTTGTTTTACACCAATGACACTGAAACGTTAAAACTATTAAGTAAAGTTCAGTGTTGTTTGTGTAAGACTTAAAGCCTGCACCCGTACCACCCAAGCATGACATAACGTCACTTCTTCACATTATCACAAAATAGTAAAGCACTACACTACTACATGATAAGCGCAAATTTCACTATGTGTCTTCATAGTTTTATACGTGTCGTTTACAGCCAGTTTTACAACATAACAAGCTAAGATGCACTTTGTTTTCTTTTGTTTTTATGAGTTTACAAATCAAGTGTTAATGTAATAACAACTTGATGCCTAGCTCCTCTTCTTTACTCCAAACAATACAGGAGTTGCTTTCACGGTGTCACAGTGACGAGCACTTAAAATATATTCAGTCTGTGCATAATAAGAGAGAACAGTACCTGTGGAAGAAAGAAGAGATAATAGATACATTAAAATAACTAATTGAATCTAAGAGACATAGGTTCTCGCTACCGAACCGACTTGTATTCGCTACCTACGCAAGTGTTGTCCGAAGATCATAAAAACCAATCAAAATACACAATATTCGAAATGGGGGTACGAGTGTGGGCAAAAGTAAGTGTGGTAATAACAGCTGCGCGGGATTCACTCGGCTGCGGCTGCTGACTGGCGGTGGAAACGGCGGCAGCGGCGGGCCTGTGGCCTTCGTCGACTTCGCGTCACCCTCCGACGCCGGCGCCGCAATGGCTCGTCTCCAGGGCGCGCTGCTTCTCAGCTCTGAGACGGCCATCCACCTCGATTACGCAAGGCATAAGATGGCACACAACGGCTGGATTCTCGCACATGAAGTATGCACGAGCACTGTCTACTACACAAATAAAAATCTGATATCACGCTACATTTTTCTGATGCTTTAATTCGTTTTCAAGATCAACTTAGACAACGTACATATTACTTTAGTTTCGGCTTATTACCAATACTACCTACTACCGTTTTTAAAGCTATAGAACTTTATTTATTTACATTACCTTCACGAATTGACATGAGGGTATGTTAAACGATGAGCGTTGTCTGGGACAATACAAATGATTTGTATTCTATTGATTTCAATATTAAGTTTATAATTGGATGATTTACTAGTAGTCAATAAAATGTACGTGGTAACAAAGTAGAGTGAACTTAGATTCCGAGTTTTAACGAACTCATTTATTCAAACTTTACATAACCGCTAACGAAGGGATCTAAGGTTTGCTAATTCTCTAAACTAACTAATGTCACCTTGCACCTCGCACTATAGTTCAGTTTTGCCTGCCACTGGTTGCTATATCAACCAGTTTGTTTAATTGACCGTTAATATAATACTATTAGGAGTTTATCGATTATTTCTGTTCCTAACTCTACGGTCTCCTTTAACTAAATGAACAGCTAATTAGCAATTGTACTCGTCTTGGCAATCAAGTTTAAGTGAAAGAAAATCGCTTTCCAGTTAAGGCTCAGCGCTAAAGTGGTGTAACCCACTTTTAATTTTTATCCTACAATAAGTTAAGTGATACTAAAGTACATAATTATTTTATATTTGAATGGTATTTTCGTGTATAAAAATAATGTAATAATTAAATTATTTTATATACTCACATTACTTTTGTTCTGATAGCCTCAATTGTAACAGTATGTAACAGTTTCCTTGAGTTAATATGTGATAAATTTTAATAACGATAAACCATTAATTTTAAAACCTAATAAATGTGAAATGACTTTACATTTCTCCAAAATACATTGATAAAAATGGAAGTAAATTAATTGGCTACACCGCGAAAAGCCAAGAGTCGAACAATCGATAACTCTTGAAGATGTTTCGTAGACGAAGAACCGCGTGTCGAATTTATTTTTGATGGTGGTGTTTGTGACTGTAGTTGCGCCTGTTTTATTAATTTTATGCGGAGGGAGGGTAGTAAAATTACCTGTATGTAAAACATTTTGAACACAAGCGCAGCAATTTTGCACGACTTAACCATCACTGGTTTCGCGGAGTAGAAAAATTAATATACTTCCATTTTTATTAACATGGATTCCGAAAAGTAAAAATTGATTGCGTTTAAAAGTACAATCACTAATTATCAAATTGATCTGGCAACGAAATGAAATCGGTATGTTACTAATTTTAAAGTGTAACATTTGGTTGACAGGGAGCCAAAGGCGGAGAAGAGGGCGAACAGCATTAGCTCGTTCGTGGCTCTCGGCACTTGACAACCAGCGAACTGAGGAACGCGCAATCTTGATCCTCATTGTATCGGAACTACACCCTTAGGAGACGGAGACCCTGCCTACTATACCACTCAATACTACGGATAATCATGGATCAAGATTGAAGGGTCCACAACGACCCTCATTTTATAAAATAAGGTAGTAGTTAAACCCCCGTAGTTTAACCCTCTGTCTCCTCCTTTTTTAAGTTCCCGTTTCAACAGCGTCAGAGGTGTGGTGTATTTACGTTCATACCAAATGTAGCATAAAGGGTTATTGTATTATTATTAACATTCCACGTTTATTGTTTACCGTTCATAATAAAAAATATTATTTGAAATTATTAATTTCATAGAAATGTAATATGTTTATTTAATATTATTCATTTTATTATTATTATGTAAAATAAGATTTATTTACAACTAACTTATTGTACGGAAAGTTTGTATATTCGTTTCTACAAGGCCGATGTATACAACTGAGAGGATTTGTTATCAATATAGCGTATTACCATAAATTAAAGATTTTAGGATAATGTCTCATTCGAATAAGCTAAAAACCAAAGGTGCCCTTCATAGAAAGATTACGTTTTGTTAAATATAATATTTCAAGTTGAATGATTTTAAATGAAGTTGTATGTATTGATTATGATACTTTTGTTTTAGCCTCGATAATGTTAGCGTATTTAAATGAATTTCATGACTATTTCAAATTATATTTACCTAATACTTTCTTAGTAATTTTTATAATGTTTGATCACTCGTTAAAGCGCTGGCACTCTAGTGTTGGTCTTACGATCTTTCTACGTATATAAATGGAATTATTGCAATTATGATACGGTACATCTCGAGGCGTGAGGGTGCGCCCGCGCCGCCCTCGGAACGCTGCTGTGGAGTGCAATACATCGCTGAACTAGAGTCGGGAACTCGCATCGTGTTCTATACTCTACTCGTTTCCCTTTACCTGGTTTTTAAATTTAAGTAACACACCAATGTTTCTTGTGCCTTGCGATCTATTCTTCTAAAATGTCGATGCAAATTATACCGGGTGATTAAATTTTTCCAATTTACCACTTTATTCGCGCGGCACGTGTTGCGCCCGCGCTGGACTCAGTTGTTGACTGTTTGTGCGATGCGATACAATCGAGACCAGTTCAGTCTTGTTGCGAGAATTTAGCCTTGGCCTTATGAGAGTTTAATAACTAAATGTAATCATTATATTAATTAATTGTAATTACTTATACTTGGCGACGAGCCAACGCTGAATAGTGAAACAATTATTCTACTATCTGCATGCTTTGACGAGCTTTTTGGTAATAATCTAATTTAAAAGTAGTAGTTACTTTTATTGTGTAATCTTTAGGTCAATACTATAAACTAGATAAGGGTATTTATTGTAGAAACAGCATAGTTACATTACTATTTAATGAGTTATTCATACATAATAATGAAACAATGTAATGAAATTTAAATTTACTGAAGTGTTAGGATTAATCAAATGGAAGATTAATATATTTTTTATTTTTAGCTAGTTGACTATCGCATCCAAAAGGAATACTTAGTTACCTAACATGTTCTCGACAGGAGAGACGTTAAGTACACATCAGTGCGAAATAGCAATAAACCAAAAATGAAATCTTAATGTTATTGTAGGTAGTGACGTATTCTGCTGATGTAAACATGTAAAAATTATACAAAAAAAAGTAAAAAAAAAATCCCTGCTTAGGCTGTAATAATAAGATATTTGAATATTTTGGGTTAAAATATTGACACGACAGAAGTCTGTGAGGTATTGCAAAGACGGCCGGTATTCGCCGGCCGGAGATTCCGCATGAGCTCTTATGAAAATCTCTTAGTCAATATATGATAGAAATTTTGTCAATTTTTGACTTAGCAAAATTTTATACGTTGTTTAAAGTAACTGTAACTTTCACAATGTACCGAGCGTCGTGACGTAAAGACCAAAGATAATGGATATACAGTATATAATTTTTAATACTAACCTCAAACCGTACCAAACTTGTATTTTATAGGCAATTGTACTGGCAATAATGTTTTCGTAGAGCAAAGGAAGTCTCGAAGTGCAACATCTTTTTTAAATTTACAAAGCATAGAACTTACATAATAATGGCGAAGTGGTGCACCCGTATTATGCTTTCAGGGATCATAGTACGGGTACTCGGCTCTCGATTCTTGTTAATAATTTATTTACCAAATCACAAAATGTTTGTAAAAGTATAAATGTTCTTTAACCAGTTTTATCCGGCTACAAACCCATGAAAACTCGACGAAAGATTTTTATGTCACACCTAAAATCTCAGATTATCTTAAATTTCGTCATTCATTGTCGGTTTTAATAATTAAGCTAAGTCAATGTTTACTTATTTAATTCGATATGTAATGCTAATTCGTATGTAAGAAATTGTGTAATAATGTAGTAGTGATCTCCTCATACCTTCGGCGCCTGGCGTTCTCAATCACAGACTGAAAATACAACGAAAAATTATTCTTTTCGTTTGGATACAAGTGTTTCGATGCATTTAGTGAAAGAAATGCGAAGCTCTCTTTACACGTTATCAATTATCGTTAAACTAAGTCTCTAAACCCATGGAAACACTTTAATACTTTTGGTTTGCACGAAACGCGTCCGCCATTATGTGGTAAGGCGTTCCGCAGAAGGACGCTTGCTATCAAAATGGCGGCGAATTGCGTGCACTGTGCAAAGAGGCGCCAGCGCCGCCATGATTCCGTCCAACAACCGTAGATAGCGAGTAAGAGACGTCCAGTGGCTGCGGACACGGCTACGTCACCTTTTGCGGGACTACTCGAGACATATCATCGTGTAATATTAATGTGTAATTAGAAGTAAAGAGCGGTTTCATAGAGACGTTTATTCTGTATTTTATCGTCTACTACTTATAATGCAATCGGCTGTATGTCACGCTACATTCACAATTTGTGTTTATAATGTATTATCTTTTAACATGTTTTGGCAGCTGGGTCCTCTGAATAACTTCGCTTGGATAAAGCTCCGACCGTCTTCGAACTTGAAATCGGTACAACAGATAGATAACCAAATCTATATTTTGTTAACGTTTACTGTGAAATCGTGTAGACGGTGTTCGGATATCGTTGAAAGAAGACGCGTGACATTGGCCCGCATGTGATAGGGTAGAGTAGGGGTGTAGCATCGCCTTGAAGTTAGGTTAAGAGAAGCGGTATCACACAAACGCCGTGCATCGGAAACATATCAATACTGTGCCCCTTAATAAATTTAGTTAAATACTAATCTAAGAGATACATATGGATAGAATAAAAGAAACAAATAAGCTCGTTTGGAGTATCAAATACATGCTAAGTGTTGTTTTCGTACGTTGATGAAATAATAATGTCGATTAGATTGTGTTTTTAAATGGATCATTCATTACGCATAGTACCCGAGTAGTGTCGCGCAAGTTCGGGGTTTATTTAAAATTAATCGCTACATAGATTTAAAATGTTATTTTTATTGTTACTTTTTAGACTAATGAGTAAATATGGCTTAATTACCAAATTAATTTTAACAGTTCGCTTCGGATTCAGTATTAATGAACCTCGTTTTATTTCGAAGGCAAGAGTTAGTTGCTGAAACTTATTTGTATATCGAGCAAAATAAATCTTACAAACTTATATAGTTAGTAATTAATTGTTAGATTTGTGTGACTTGGATTATTTAAATGCTTTTAGAGCAGAGGTAAAGTGTTATTGTGGTTTAAGAAAAAAACATAATGACATTGTAAAAATAGTGATAAAGTTAGCTTAATTATTCATTATTACAACTTTTATAGATGTTCATTAATTTTCTTTTCTTACTTCATGGAGTATTGTGGCATTGGAGACGTCATTGTTAATTCAAATAAATTTGAGCTCACCCTCAATGGAAGTTTTTATTAAAAGTCGACTGGAGTCTTGTGAAAGAAATTTTATATACCGTCTTGTCAATTCATCTTTATGACATTTTTGGACTAAACAGAAGAGAAGACCATTGTTTTCTAAGATTTTGGTCGACCTGTAAGCCTGGACGAATACATTCGGAATTTCTGACACACATTTTAATCACACGCCAGAACGCACTCCCCTCATATGTCTTGTACTAGAGTACGTAATGTACGTAAAGTCTCAACTCTACTTCTGCAGTTTGTACTATGTCCTTCCTAGCGACAAATACAAAAAAAAAAATTAACGGAGCGTCTGCCACACTATATAACTTTTATTGCACCACCCGTAAGTCTCCATGACAAAATTATCAAAAATCTGAATCAAATAATTGATCGAAATTCATTCCTATCAAAATATGTATATTCAAGTTGTTGTGGCAATAGAGTACAGTAATGTTATTAATTACTAATCTATTTCGTGAAAATACTCTCGTATTTTCTATCGTTTATAGACAAACATTGAATTATTGAATTGGTGTCTCAAGAATGTCAAGGTGCGTGTCTCGCGTTTTCAATTATAATATCCTTTTTCATCATAATTTTATCACCATTAATTTATCTTCAAGAATAGATTTCTAATTACTAATTTTACCGTACTGAATGATGCCAATTCTGTTCGATTAACTAAATTTAACAGTTCTAAAATCATTGACATTCATTTTATCGACTATAATACACTTTCGATTTCTTGTTTCGTTACTTTTAACGAAACAACAAAATCGAAACTTTCGAGTATTCTTTAATACTCGAAAGTTTCACAAATATTCGAGGTACTAAAATAGAAGTTATTGTCTCTATCACATTCATATCACCATAAAGAATAATATGACAAAAGTGTTTATTTCTGCCTAAATTTAGTCAATAGTCTTGCGGAATTGGCACCACTATCATCGTTCCATATTTTTCAATGTTCTTGTAATCACAACGTTAGTTATAATATTATAGGTGTTTAGCTTAGGATTACTGAGAGTAGATAATAATTGACAGTTGAGCTTTTTATCTTTTGCTTTGTAGAAAAAACTGCTTTACGTCCCTTGTAAAATGAATTTTGAATAATTTGAAAACTAACATGGTTGTATCAATATTTGTAAATTTATTTTCCGGAGACGATGTACAGTCGGCATTGCGACATTGTCTGCATTATATACAAATTGTCAACGTTACGCATTATACATAAAGATTACGAGAAAGTATAATGCGCACTCAATGGAAAACAAAATCTCTGCCAACCAACATGCAATTGTCAAAATTATGATCGTTGGACTATTTTGACATTTGAATAATAGAGTTTAGTGTATGTAGCTGATTTTATATCCCTTAATTACAGTATAATAAGACAAATATGGTAACTCCATACATACGTAGCAGTGCGGTTTGTAAGTGTGCGCGCCTGTCGCGTGCTGTGAACGGATGCACACATTTACATTATTTAGCGATACATCGTGTTGATAGCGCTGGTATAGCACGATAGGGCGCGACTTGCGCGAGAGCGATATAAAGCGCGACATCTCGCGCTATATGTCGCTGCATATGCAGTAGATAAAATCTCCAGCTTATATACTTATGTTAGACTAGAGTTACCATACTTATTTAATTATACTATGCCTTAACTTTACCTTCAATAAAATTGTATTTGAGTCCGTATTAATTTTCGAAGAATTTTGTTGTCCTGCAACTTTACCATGAGTTTATTATGTTAGGTAATGTATGTAACTGACCGCGTCAAATATTTCACAATTTTCTATAGAAAAAGAATCTGTGCCTGTAGTGAGCGCAAGAAAAAATACAATTTTAGAAAAAAATAAAACATTCTACGCGATCGATAACGACGATCGATACTGTAAATTAATGGTAAAGGAACAGTACATGCTGACGTAATGCCAACAGTACATATTCCATTAAATGGCTATGAAGTCCTTTGATTTCGATAGTTATTAACTTATGGCAGTGTTGTATTTATGTTATTATTAGTTTTAAAGCATTATAGGGTCCAAAGATTGGGAATAAACTTATGTGACAAATTATATTCTTTGTTCTTTATTTCTCTGTTAAAATAACAATAAAGCAGACATAATTTTCATTCCACAATTTGGTAAGTAGGTACCTTTACATTTAAGGGGGGTTACACATGGCGACTTTTAGCGGCGGAGATGAAAACTCGATGCAGTAGCTATGCAGTCGCTAATCGTCTACCTTTACACGCGCGCTCGATTTTAGGCTGCAATGCAAGCGCGCGACTGCATCGATACAAACGCACGATTGCATCGCTACACTTGGAATTTATAGGCAATTGCATCGATGTGTGTAACCTAAAAATGTAAATAATATTTCAAAATATATTCATACGTCTACTTAACGTTTCAAAGCTGTACTTTACACACTTTACATCGTTTGTAATGTTGAGCTGAGTATATAAGCTCTCGTATATAAGCTATGCGGCAGATAAGCTCTCTGTAGTCAATACTGACTTTAACTATGAATTCTATGACTACGTATTAAGGGAACATGAAGCGTTACATTAGCAAAGAAAAACACAAAGGACCTAACATCTAAAATAACACAAGATACGTACATTACATAACAATGTATTTGGAGTTAGTGTAAGGTAATTAGCAGCGGCTGGCGTTGAGAAACTTCGAGTTACACTACACTGCGCCATTATGGAACTACGAGTTTTCTGTGTATCTACGGACTGTGTATACGCAGCATTAAAGTTGGACCATTACCTGTCAGCATGCATCAGAATCAAGTCCATAATAAACGTGGCTAATATCACACAGCGTACTGGCGTTACCTCATATCAATTACACATTTATTTAGAATAGATGTAATGTGCTGTAGGGTCAGCACGACAGGGAGAGCGACGTAAAGCACGAGATACTGCTATTCACGCATACAGATCTCACGTCATGCTAACCCTACTGCTGATATAAATGAGGACAATCCCTTAACATTTTTGAAACTAAAACTTTTAATTGTGGTAAACAATGAAGGTTAGGTTATTACCTCCATTTCAAAGGACATATACAATATCTACCGAAGATCCCTTAACCGAATTATAACACACATAGACATGGTTTTATAATAAACAAGTGTTACGGAATTTAATCTCTTCGATGTTTTCATAGTCGGAACCCTGACAGATACGACGCTAATCTACAAGTACAGTTAGCGTCAAAAGACGTTCAACAGCTACAGATTTCCATGTCAAAATCACATAAGTATTATATAATAATTAAGAAGAAATATCGATAAAATAAACCTACCGGATAGCTTATTTATTTAAAACAATAAACTGACATTTTTTGACAAATTCAGAATAATTAAAGGATCCACTTCTCTGACTCATCAATAATTTGTAAATAGTAATTGAAAAAAATCAAGAATTTGATAACAGAAAAACTATACCAGTATTTATAGACGAAGCGCGCGTCTTCCCGAGAATTGTCGCAGCTACCCTTTTATATCTAGTTTACACGTTACACAATTGACATAAAATGCATTATGCTATGTACAATGTCCTTAAAAAAATTTTGTTTCCATTTTTCGTGGCAATTTAAATTGTACCTAAATCGAAAAGAAATATTGTTTAACATATTAAAAGATTGAGCATATTAACATTTTGAAAGATCGTCGAATCGGACTCGACTGGGCAGTGTTCGGAAAATTACGCCATATCTTCTTGTCGAAAATACCACAGTGTTTCAAGACAAAAGTCTTCGACCGGTGTATGTTACCAGTGACAGATTATGGCCCTCATAAGGGTTATGGTCGGAGTTTCGTTGCGAGATCGAAGCAGTAATGACGAAATCCGCAAGGGAACCTGAGTAACAGAGTGTAAAAGACATAGCCTTAAGAATTGTAAAACTTAAGTGGCAATATGCATGGCACATTGTTCGCAGGATAGATGGCCGATGACGCCATAGAGTTCTCGAGTTGCGACCGCGTACCGGACGATGCAGCGTGGGCAGACCACTCACATGATGAACTGATGATCTGGTGAAGGCTGTGGGAATCCGCTGGACGCAAGCGGCGCAGGAGAGGTCGTTGTGGCATTCTTTGGGGGAAGCCTATGTTGTGCAGTGGACTGAACTGATGATGATGAAATTAATAGTCAAACATTCTTAACGTTTCTTTTTGATCGACTATCTTTCAGTGAGCCGAAGTATTATAATAAATATAGGAACATTAATTTTTAAAGTGACAGTAGCTGTCAGTTTGTTATCTCTATTTAAAACTCCGTCTATACTTAAGTCTGCTCCTAAGTACATTACAACCACAGAATAAAACGTAACCTGCTCGTATTTGGTGACCTAACGTAAATTATTTAAGCCGTCAAAACTTGCTATGACCTCGTTGCGACGTAATTAGTACGAATACCATTAATATCACATTCGCCTACCGAGTGGAGTTAAATTGTGTTACTAATTAATCTGCGCCGGATTTCCCCTTTGTCGTATAAATATTTTGCAAGAAGCAGTCATCGCCTTGAATGGAATATGTAAGTATATGTTTTGAATATTTATTATGTAGTGTTTGAAACAAAGAGGAAATCACTAAGAAACAAAATAAAAACATGCAACTCGTATATCACACTAATGAGATATTTCTTAAATTGGATTTCATAAAAGAAGAACAAAACGTTTGTTCTTGTATGTAGTAGTTTTGGAGAAAATCACCGACATACGTGATATATAATGAGTAATAGAAGAACAGTGGAATTTTTAATGACGAGGAAATCACGGAGCATATAAGTACTCTTAAATCACACTAATGAGATATTAAATTTGATGTTTTTAAAAGAGCAATAAAACGTTTGGTTTTGTAATAGTAGTTGAAGAAAATCGCAGACATTCTATTCTATTCTATTCTATTCGAAAACGGTTACTCTTCATTTGAGAGGTAGCTCGCACACATGATTTTAATGTCTAAGTTCGTACGTGCATTTGTGAATATTCAGCAGCTATACCTTTTGCTAACGGTAAAGGAAAACATCGTAATGAAATCTCGAAGACGGTTTGGAAAGCGTGTGAAATCCTCAACCTGCATTCGGCTAGCACAGCGAACTATATAGCCTAAACCCTCTCATTAGAGGAACCCAATGTCTCTTTTGAAGGCTGATAATGGTAAAAATGCTCGCAGGTGTCTCTCGGTAAGTCCCCAACTCACATCGGGCTATCACAGCCGATTATTGCCTAAATCCTTTCTTAGACGAGCTCTGTGTCTCCATGTGGGCTGATAATAATAAAAAAATTGCTGTATATGCAGATGTATCTCCAGCTGATTATTGTAATCAGGACATTATAAATTTTATATTTGACAAACAAGACAATGTTTCTGTATTTTATTTAATGTTATTCAATCGCATATAGCACTGTTAATACAATAATAGTATATTAACTCAAAAAGTGTATTTTTTCACAATCGACAATAAAACGATTATTCACTTCCCGTGAAAGATTTATTAAAATGTATGTATAGTATTAAAGTTTATTACAGATATGTAAACAATATCCTTCTTGCTAAATATATTTAAAAATAAACGGGAAAAAATACTTTCGTAACTTTGAGTCAGGACTGTTTTGTCTAGAATTATCTTACAAAAAGTTTGTCTCATGATTGCAATAGCAGGGCGACATTGTCCCTTCATATCTAACATTTTTCTCATGTCGTAATCAACTTTCAAAGAGAAATTCTTTTTATACATGAATATAACTCAATGGTAAAACGAGTCTAATACAAGTTACAACTTAAGATGTGAAGTAATGAACCGAAACTACGTTGCCCTGACAAGTTGTCCTAATGCTATTGGTCGTAGATAACGTCGTAACAATCGAGGCTTCGACTGCATGACATTGATAACGACTTCACGCATTAACTGCATGCAGTTGATCTCGGTTGCATGAAGTCGGTTTCGACTGCATGCAGTTAATACGTAAAGTCGTTATCAAAACATAAATCTCTATAATATTTATTGTCTTGGATGACATAAATACTGTAGAGATCGCATTTCAGTCTATATATGGTCTTGTATTTATGGCATCTGGTCGTAACCTCAAGTCTATTCAACACATATATATAAATTCAAATAATCTTTGTCCCTTTGTTCGGTACAGGACAAATTCTGGATTCAATAGATTCGTGATTCATCACATGCGTTATTCGACAGACTCGTGGATTATCTATTGTTTTTAACCGACTCCAAAAAAAGGACGAGGTTCTCAATTCGATTGTATTTTTTTTTGTATCTATGTTACGCAATAACTCTGATTTGTGAACCGACTTTGATGATTTTTTGTTGGAAAGAGGGTACCTCGTAGTGGTCCCATTTAAATTTGATTATAATATTCTACCCTTAAATGGCGGCAAACTAGGGGCTGAATGACTTTTGAGGTCGTGAGATTATCTAGAACCTTTTCTAACCATACATGGTTTCAACAAGATCTATTTTTAACAATATACAATTGGCACTCTTGGTAATAAGGTCACATACGTAAAATGACAGCTTTTCAGGACACTTTTTATGCCAAAATAGAAGAGTTTTATTTCTTTTTTTAATTAAATGTACTTGCTCTTGACCACTACCTAGCTATGGGCCTACGATGGAACGAGTTTCACGTTGTACGTGATTCATTCGTTATCTTCGGACGGGCTTTTTGCGGTAGCGGGCGCAACCGCCATTACTCAAAACATTTGAAAAGTCCAGGGAAATAATGATCAAAGTAGAAATTAGAAATAGAAATTTTTTATTCTTTTAAAAAAACAACATAAATAACATAAAGATTTA